ATCCCGGGCCGCTGCCGCACCACGGCCTCCGCGGGCCCCCGCCACTGATGCCACCCCACGGCTACAACGGGCCCCCCCGCCCGCCCCCCTACGGCTACCAGAGGGTCCCACTGCCCCCCCGGCCAGCGCAGAGACCCCCTGGAGTTCCCCCCCGGGGACCCCTGCGGGGACCCCTGCCCTGAGTGCTGGGAGCCTCTCCATTCTCCATCCTCAGCTTTCCACAGCCCTTATATCAATATGCCCATTCCCACAAAGGGCTGGGGGCCATCCCCTACTCCTCCCTCCCCATTTCTTCCCCCCATTTCTTTTTATAGTGTTCATTTTCCTCACTCCCCCCCGCTCCCCAATTTCTCTCACCCTGGAAGMTTTTCCAAGCTCCTTTTTACTGGATTTGTTGGTTTTGTATGGAAAGCAGTGGCCACTCACTTGCAAATAAAGGATTTGAAAACCAAGGGGGTCCCCAGATTGGGGCTGAGGCTCTGCCTGTTTGTCACCAGCGGAGATCTCTTCCCTCCTTGGACTGTTGGGAAGAACCAGGCTGGAGGGATTTGGGGCCTGAGGAGCAGCAGAGCTAATGCGTGGTCTGATTCCTGCTCCACTCATAAGCCTGGAAGAGCTGTGTGCTCTTTTTGACTGCTCCATGGGAACTGWGAATTCTTGTTCTTGAGCCATCGCTGCCCAAATGTGGGGAGTTGAGGTTTGACTGTGCAATATTTTGGTGCCAGATTCAGCCAAAGTCAGGCATTCCCCTAGAAAATCTCCAAGGAGCTTGTGGTCCACAAATCCCTTCTTCTGCCCCTGGGCAGTGCCAGAGCCTCTAAGAGCCAGGAGTTTGTGGAGGGACGTGGAAGTGGGAATATGCCACTCCCTTTCTTTCTCACCCCAGTGTCTTCATCTGTGCCAAGGCTGCACTTTGCATTGTTATCCTGGTAAGAATTTCTAGGGTCAGGATGGGCTAGGGAGGGAGGGACAAGGTTGGAACCCCCTTCTGATCCTTCAGATCCAAAAATGTGAGGAGAATCCCATGTGAGCGTATTTGGGTGTAGAGGGGTGGGGTGTGTGCTGAGAGCCAAGGGGTTTGAGAGATCTCCAGTGTCCAAAGRACCCAGGGGTTCCTGTCTGGATCCAGGGAGTCCCAGGGTGGCACTTCTCTGCTCCATATTGATGGGGACCCTCCCAGGGCTGCCAGTCCCCTACGTGTACACAATCATCATCCCCTTCTCTCCCAGAGTTAGCCACTCTTACCCCCAGTTTTCTCCCATCATCCCCRGTGTTATCCTGTCATTCTCAGTTACATCCCATCTCCTCCCTATTTGTATTCCATTGTCAACCCTGATTTTCTCTTTTCCTCCCATTTTATGTTATTCCCCCCCACTTTATCCCATCATCCCCGTTTTYATCATTCCTCTCAGCTGTATCCCAGTTCCTGGGTTTTAGGCCCTGGCAGATAGAGATGGAGCCCTCCAGACAGGAGGAGCTATTCCCTGTCCTGCTGCCAAGCCTGTTCCTCTGATGAACCACACAAAAGCCCCGGGGCCAAGCAGGAGCAGAGCAGGGGATGGGAGCTGGGAGCTGTGCAGTGACGGTGACACATGAGTCACTGGGTGCCCGAGGATGTGGCACTCGCTGCCCCTGGGCTGGGGCTCACCGAGCGCGTGATTTCCAAAGGGCACAGCCCGGGTCCTGGTGCTGCCCATRTCTCGGGGATGCTCCTCAGCTGTCAGCCTTGTCCTGTAGTTCCATCCCTTTTTTGGTTTTTTTTTTTCAATGATGAATGTCACTATTATTTGTGAGCTCCCCGGTTTCTAAATCCTTCCCTGATCTGGCACCACTGATGCAGACTCGTCCCCATCCCTCTCCCGTGTGAGAGGTGACGTGCTGATCTGGATGGATCCTGTCACATTGTGGGGCTTTGGGGTGGACACCCTGGAATCTGGGAGTGCGTCAACTCTTTGCAGGGAATGCAGGAGGATGGGGGTTCGAGGAAGCTTGGGACTGGGAGTGCTGGGGTGCAAGATGAAGGGGCTCTGGCAACACTGGAATGCCAGTGAAGGGGGCTCAGGGAAGATCTGTCCCTGGGAGCATCCCCAGCCCTCCTCAATGTGGAGGCCCCCACTCTGAACACAGCTAGTCCCCATAGCCCTAGGGATATGGGGCTGGACCACTGCAGGTCCCAGTTTCCCACTCTCAGGAAGCGACCCGTGGGACGTGGGGGGCCGTTTGGACCCCCCCATTCCTCGATGTGCCTCCCCGGCCATAACCCCCCTAAAAAATTAATCGGGGGCTTTCGTGTCGTGTTGCAGCAGAGAGACCGGGGTCTGGCCAGCCCAGGCGGGGACAATTTGATCCCAAAAAATCCCAATCCAGCCCCGCGGAGGCCGTGACTCAGCCGTGCCGGGGGCGGGGGGCGGCGGGGGAAGGGAGGGGGCTCAGCTTCGCCGAGGGATGCGGGGGGGCCGCCGGCTCGTACCCCCATCCCACCATCCGCAGCCYCCGGAGCGGCTCCATCCCCGCAGCTCCAGCACGGGAACGCCGATCCCGCGGGAGCTCCCSTTGCGCATCCCGGGGGATCCATCGCCCCCCCGGCTGGGGCGAGCCCCCTCCCCCGCCGAGCCCCCCCGGTTCGCCGGTGCGGTGGCTGATCCCTCCCTTGCCGGGGCTGCGCCGATGGACTCTCCCAGCGCTCCGTGTGTGCGGCGGAGGCTGCGGCGCTAGCGCTGGTACCCGGGAGCTGCTGTCGCGCCGTGTCGCTGCCGGAGCATCCTCTTTCCTCGCCCTATCCCTTCCCGAGCATCCTTCCTCCCCGGAGAATCCCCCTCGCCGGCGTCGGGAGGGAGCTGGAGCTGGAGCGGGGCGAGGGCTGAGCCAGGTAAGGGCTAATAAAACGGGTTTATACCCTACATCCCCCCTCCCCGCGGCGTTAATCGGCGTCCTCGGAGCCGCTGATGGATTCGGGGTTCGGCTTCCCCTTCCCACTTGCTGTGGCCATTTTGTCCTGGAAAGCCTTCCCTGGCGCCCGGCTCTGCGTTTGGATGTGCGTTTTTGGGGGCTCCTGTCATCCCACCCTGCCGTCCTGCGGCTGGAGAGCAGCCGGAGGGGGTCGGGAATTCGCCGCAGGGATGGGAGGGTGGAACCGGGGGGTTTTGGGGAAGGGGT